AAAAGTAGAATATATAATAATAGAAGAATCTTCTATGGTTGCATCTCAAATGTTAACATTCTTAAGTACATTGTTTGCCATATTAAAAAAAATCACTTAGAATTGGTGGAATTTCTGTTCTTCTTACAGGAAATCTTTTTCAACTACCATCTGTTCAAGGTGATTTAATCTTTTATTCACCAGTATGGATTAACTTTTTTCCATTGTTTTTAACTACTGCTCATTGTCAACAAGAAGATCAACCATTTTATCAAATGCTTGAAGAAATCAGAATGGGAAATGTTACTGAAAATACCATTGCTAAAATACAACAAAAAGTTCAAGAATATAATTTTACAGATAATGTATTAAATACAACTCATATTGTGGGATATAGAAATAAAGCATCTACTATTAATGATATTATTGGAAGTTATCTTCCTTCAGTTGATGAACATACAGAACCCTATGAATTAGTAGCTATTGATTATATGAATAATATCCAAATATCACCTGCTGATGCAGATAAATTATTTTGTCATTATACAAATTTTCCAACAAAAGTAATTCTAAAGGAAGGTATGAGAGTAATGTTTCTTAATAATTCATACTTTAACAAAGGATTATTTAATGGTTCTATAGGTGTTGTCTTAAAAATTATTGATGATGATATGGTTCAAGTTGCTTTTCCATTAAAAACTGGTATTGCTAATGTAATAGTAGTAAAAGAAACTAGTTACTTCAGAGTAAATGGAATTCCTTCACATTGTCATCAATTTCCACTTCAGAATGCATTTGCTCTAACAGTTCATAAAACTCAAGGGCTAACACTTCCACATATAACAATATCCTTAAATGAAACAATATTTGCATTTGGACAAGCATATGTAGCCTTAAGTAGAGCAACATTATGGGACAACTTAGAAATTACATCATTTAATTTGAATTCAATTAAAACTAGTCCTGATGTTATTGTTGGATATGAAAGATTAAAAGAAAAATATAACAATAGTATTGGCAGATTTAATACATTTCTAATATAAATAAAATAAATTTATGTAAAATCAGTAGTTATATTAAAGAACTAAAAATCAAAAGACAAATGAATAGTAAATTTATAATATTATTTAACTAACAGAACTCCCCTACCCTGAATTCTTGTTTATCATTATTATTTTTTGTTGATAATAAAATCTTTCTATTTTTAAATTTTAACCGCGTATTTTACTATTATTATTTTTTTATTTGATATATTAATTATTAAGTATTATTATTATATAATTATTATTATTATTATTATTATTATATTATTATTATTATTATTTTTACTATTCTAATTATTATTGTTATTTTAATTAATTAGATATAGCAATTAACCAATATGAATAAAATGTCCTATAATTTGCACGACAATTACAAACTATTTTTTTCTCAAATCTCTTTTTTAAAAATTTTCTCGTTCCTTTTTAATTCCTTTAATATCCAAAACAATGAGTCTATATTTATTTAATTGAATTGGTTCATTTGCTCCTGGATACTTTATATAAAAAAAAACTTTACATAAAAAAACTGTTTATAATGTATTATCCTTTAGTTTATCTAGCCTCATTCCTTTGCACCTCTCAACCAATCTTGACCACATATTAACATTTCAACAGTTTGTAGAGTAAGATTTGATCAATAGTCATTAATAATTCTTCTTGCCATACTAAATATCTAAATAAATAATATAAGTTAGATTATATTATATCGATAAGCTAATACTTAACTGGACTTTACTTACTGCTTCGGAGGCTACTGAAGTTATTGGAACAGCAAGAATATCCCTTGCCATTGAAGACACAAAAGGATACCTCAGTGTATTTTCCTTCCACCAAGCTAGGATATCAAATGGCTCTGATCAAAAACGGGAAGAAGTGGATAAGAAAGATATTGCTCAAACTTATCCATTTTATTTACGACATTAATTTGATTTGTTACAAGAAAATGGTTGAAATCTTGTATTAATTCATCTTCCTGAGAAACAATTTCAGAAAAATTATATAATTATTTGAAGCAACTGTGTTTTATATATATGTTGATTTATAGATCATCGTAACTTTATATAATGATAAATAATTATAAAATTAGTAAAAATAATGAAGTCTTATATTTAGAAATATTATATTCGAAATAACTTACCTCATTTTAATAGAATTTAGCTTGTTTTCTGCTTCAGTACATGACAATTGCATTTTCTGCTTATATATATGAATTAGTAATGACATCTTATAACGAGGATCCATTATAGATGCAATGATGCAATGTATATCTCCCATATCTGCCCAGTATTTATCAAATTTGGATTGCATCAGTGCGGTCATTTGACAAATAAAAGGATTTATATTAGTAGTATTTTGTTCAAGATGCATCTTAATTTTTATTACATGAGGAAGGAAAATATTTGCTGTTGAATATGTACTTCCTGATATAATATTCTAACTATATTAAAATTAATAACTGGTTAGTATATACTTTAGTAAAAAAAAATATACTTTTTCTTAGTTTTATCTAAATAATTTAAACTTATGTCAAAAATCACAAAAAGTTTTCAAAATTTGTGAAAAAAATAGTTCCAATTGTTTCTTCTGTCAAAGTCATTTGATAATAAAAGTTTATCATATTCCTTAATTCTTGAAGGAAATCTTCCTGTTTATTCATGGCTTTCATCTGCTATAGTTGGTTTGGATAATTCTACAATATTTCTAATTAGAGGAAAAATGTTAAATAAGACAACACTCTTTTACGATTATTCAAATCAAGTTTACAAATATAATAATTCCTCACCATTAATTACTGGCAATATAATTCCTCTTAGAGTATAAGTGAAGTAATTAATAATTCAGGAATTATATATATATTTGGTGGATTTAATGCAAGAACCTTACAATAATATGAATATTTTAAATACCACCTCCTTGATTTGGACAAAATTAAATATTACTGAAAGTCTTCCTATTTCAGGTAGTGACTATTCAGCTAATATTTTACCAAATGGAACTATTGTTTATATTGGTGAACAATTACAGCCAGGTACATTATATATTTTTACACTCGCAAGAATGAAACATATAAGTAATTTAAATATTTAAATAATGAATTGTTTTAAATTATTTTTTAAATTATTTTTTAAATTATTCTTTAAATTATTCTTTAAAATTATTTTAAATTATATTCATGAATTATTTAATATATCGTTATATTCATACCACAATCATTAGTATTCAAAGTTACATCAATGTTGAAATCTAGAGAAAGAGCCAGGGAAGCAATTACTGAAGGAATGGTTAATTTCAAAGAGTACTTAAAAGACTACTGGAAGGAACGGTGTGAAAAAGTGGCACTATGGGAAGCTAAAAATAATATTACAAATAGATTGAAAAAGAAAAAAAAAGGGAAAAACT